CCGGCCACTCCTTGGGGCTCTTGCTTGTGATCCTGCGAGTACTTATCCTGGCGCAGGGACTTTGCTTGTCCCTCGCTTGCCAAGCATGCCCGTGCTCTGTCTGGCCCGGCCGCGCGTCGTCCAGTTTGGGGTACTGACTTTAGGAAGCGACCCGTACTGGTCCAGGGGAGAACGTGTTCCGGTATCGGGTAGCTGCTAGAATCCTCATGGCTGTGCACACATGTACGGTCTCTTCTCGAAAACACACACCTCTGTGTGTTCTCGAAACACTTACATGTCCTTGTCCCCGCGTGTTATACACATAAGTGTTTGCTCTCGGTGCAGAACGCGTACATACATGTGTGTGTGGCGATAAATCATTCTGTTCTCGAAACACACACATATGTGTGTTCTCGAAACACTTCCATGTGTGTGTGTGTGTGCTCCCACATCGTATGGGTGCTTTGCACACAAGTGTGCTCCGGGAAGGCATGCATATGTGTGTGCCGCTAAAACATGGGTGTTCTCGTCGCACACATGTCTATCTTCGGAATTGACACGCGTGTTCTCCGAACACGTCTATCCGTGCTCCAAACACACACATTTGTCTGTTCTCGGACAACATGTTTTTTTCGACAACTCCGCAGTGTTCTTCGCGGCACACACACATATGTGGCTGGAAAACACATGTGTGTTCTCGGAACACACGTGTGTGTTTTCAGAGCACACATCACATGTCTGAATGACGAAACACAGGCAGGGCAACATGGCCACAACAGGATGTGCCCGAGTGAGGCTCTGGGCGGTCTGGAGAGTGCGGACCTTAAACTCCATGCTCGGCCCCCACCGGGGTTGCTTCGGCACAGGTGGGTGGTGTCAACAGCGAAGCGGAGGAGGCGCCCGACTGTTGGGTGCTTAAAGGGGGGGTCATCAGCAACCCCTCACCTCCTGCGAAGCTTCGCGCAGGCGGGGGGGCGCCTGGGAGCAGGACCGGGTAATGGCCTGCTCCGAACCCCACAGGCGGGGGGTGCCTGGGAGCAGAACCTTTACCCGTGTGGGGTAATGGTCCTGCTCCGAAACCCTAACAACCCCCGTAATGGGGGTCCAGCAGCACAGAACTCCCGCCAATTTTTTACGGCTGCGCTGCGTCCGTCAAAAAAATCACGTCCGGTGTCTCCGCGCTGATTGTTTTTTGGGTTTAGGATGTACGGACAGGACCCAAAAGGCCGGAGCAATTGAATTTCAGGCAAGAGTCCTATGCCGAATCGCAGTGCTTCGGGCAAGAACGGGCAACGGTGCCAGGCATTGTTATATCCCTCATACTTGAGTCCGACGCTGACGACGGGTGGGTTTAGAAAGCCGAGCATGGGTCGTAGCCGGTTGCACAGCCCGTGGTGCGACGGAAATCGTTTAAAAAAAACCAGCTAGCTCAGAGAATCCAGCGAACCACAGGCGAACCCCTGGAAAAAATATTTTTAGGATCGCTTGCGTGTTGCTGACCCCTATCTTGGTGGCTAGTATACTTCTCGCTGCTTGATGTGAACGTTTGATTGCGGTGCCGTCAGACAGAAGGGCTCCACCAGCTTGGGCTCGGGGAAACAGTCTCCGATTTTCATCCCGCTACAACAAGCGAAGTGCCTTGGCATGGATCGGTGTCGGACAGAGGGGTGTTCATGTCACGAGCACTTGTTTCTCTATGGCAGACCCAGGTTGAAATGTGGAAGGTGCCATTGCAAGCAGCAGTGGTTCCGTTTGATCTTTGTAGCCAGGAAGAGGACCAGTACGAGAGGCCGAGATGTGCGTCAGTCACTTTGGATGTCTTCTTCCGCCCTTAACTTAAGCAGCGTTTCGGCGCAGGCGGGACAAGTTCGGCAACCTTTGGCACGGAAGGACAGAAGCCTTGGCTAGGCGCAAGGTGTCCGACGTCATTGATGCGGAGTGGGGGTCCAGAAGGCGTTCCATGGTACGAGGGACCAGGCGCACATATGTGTACTGCAAATGCAGCGACGGGTGCCGGATGGTGATACAGTATGGGTTGGAAAATGAGAAGTTGGTACGGGAAGCGAAAAATGAACACGAGCATGGGAGGGATGCTCGTGCGGACATCCGGGCCATCGCCTCCAAGGCGCAGCCGCCCGCTGCAGCGCTGGTGAAATGGTCCTTGGAACATCCGAAGGACCGTCTCCCCTTACGCCAGCAAGTACAGACCCGGCGGCAATACGCAAAGACGCCGCAAAAGGAGGACAAGATCCCGGAAGTGCTGGCCTACGTCAAGGAATTGTAAGCGCGGCAAGCCAGAGCCAGTTGGCAATTCCAGGTTTTACAAGTTGATGACGCAACAGGCATCATTTGCTTTACCGCGGACTTCTACGTCGCCCAATTGCTGAAGCACTGGGACATGCTGGTTAAACACGGCTTGCGGTTGGCGTGTGATGGCACCCACAACATCTCCAACAGCGATATCAAACTAATTGCGTTGGGCTGGCTTGCCCAGCACATCCCCCGAAACAACATTGAGAACACATTCGTGCCGCTGGGGTTTGCCTTTGCACCCACCGAAACAAGCGTCGCCGTGCTCATGTTGCTTGAAAGCATACATGAGCGCGTGCGCACGCAGATGCCAGCTGGTCTCAAAGCGGCTTCCCTCGCCCACCTGGATGGCGGTCTCGGACTGGTGAAAGGTTTCCAGGACTTCTTCGGGGCGGACTTCTTGTTGGTTCGCAGTTTGGAGCATGTGAAACGAAACATCCGCGACCAAGGAGCCAAGAAGCTGAGGCAAAGTTCGTGGTGGACAAGCACGAAAACATGGGTCGCCACCAGTGCCTTTTTCCACAACGACCATGCGTTCGATCGTTATTGGCATTATTGCTTCCTGCTGTTAGAAAAGCACGAGGAAGCAGAGTTTCTCGCTTACCTCAAGGCGGAGCACTTCAAGCAAACAGAAGGCTTATGGACTGCTTCTTGGCGTGCAGCCACGTTGGAACCGGGATCGTACGCCTTGAACTCCGTGGATGCGTTCTTCGGCGTGTTGGATGACTACGTCTCCGAAGAGAAGTCTTTGCCACTGAGGGAGTTAATGAGGCATTATGAGCACGCAGGAAGGGTGTCCGAAAACGAAAGCATGTGGTCTGAGGTTTGTGTTGAGCCCAGCAAGCTTCTGTCCCCGACATTGCTGGGGGAGATATCGGGTCAGTTGAGCAAGCGTCTGGAGTATAAAGGTGGCAAGCAAGTCGGCCGTTTGACGGCAAAGACGTTGAAGAGGATGCTTGCGGAAGAAACTCCCATGATGCTGGAAGTGGAAGCCGGTGAGGGCCAGACAACCAAAATTTTTTGCAAGTATGGTCGCGCTGATTACAACGAGCAAGAGATGACGGCTCTCGCCGAATTGGAAAATGCCAAGTCCGCCGAGGCAGTGGAGACAGCTTTTCAGAACATGGGTGCTTTGGATGAGGATGGTTTTCACCCTCGCATCGTCCGTGCCCTCTACGACAAATTCACGGCCTTGCACGAGGAGGCCGGGAAGCTCTTGGAATCCCACGGTGATTTCTGGCAATGTGGGATGACGGAGCATATGGCACACATCCCGGCCACCCCACCAGCACCTTTTTCATCTTTGGTGCCTCGTTCAACCCCGACTGGAAGGTCGCGCGGACGGTCCAAGGGAAGCAAGCGTCCAGGTGCCAGGCCCAAAAAGGCGCCTCGTGTCTACGGCTACGGTTCTGGTCGGGGAGGACGTGGGCGGGGGCAACGCAAAAGGCCCGCCCCAGTGGCCGACACTTCCGCCAGCAGAGGACACCGTAGATCTTGAATCGTTTTCTGGGAAGGGGGGCGAAAAGTTCAAACCTGTTACAGGAGTTAGTTTGTCCTGCAATGCCCTACAGCACAAAGACCCGAAGAAGACAAGGGTTCGTCATCAACAACAAAGACATATTTAAATCTGCCCTCCGGAGGACGTGGCAAAGCCAGCATTGGTCGATGAGCACTTTGCAGATCCCTTCGATCCAGGTGCAGGGGGGCAACCAGAGCTGTTGGGTGCAGCGAATGATGGGGTTCCTGCTGCCGTGCGCCAAGAAATGCAGCGGCTGGCTGAAGCTGGTGTCCTTCCGATCACGACACCAGAACAAAGAGCCCGCAACAGGTGCTCGGCCGGCAGTGAATATGGCGTGCCTGCCGCCTTCGCGGATGCCAGACGTTTCAGCTATGTGCATCCGAATTTTCCGCCTCCCACTGGATACTTCTGGCGCTGCCGAGGATCGGAGTGGACCCTGTGTGTGAAAGGTGGCTGAAAGCTCTACCTTGGCGCAACGCTCTTTTTCCTTGTGTATATGACGACCTTGGTCGATGAGCGTGGTGTGAGCGAAAAGACAACGTCCCCAACCTTGAACTGTAACCCTAAGTCGCCTAAACCCTAAGCACGCCAGACATTGACACGGCAGATGTGGGCTGAGCACTGGCAAAATTCAGCACCATCTCGGGAATGACCAATTTTCCTATATGTTATCTTACATTGAACATATCTCGCTTCCGCTTCCCACATAACATCTGCGAAGATATTAATTTGCAAAAAACCCAGAGAAATGGTGACGGTACTGGCATAACGTCGAATGTTCGAGATTTCCGTTATGTTAATTATGCAGGTATTCGCTGATATCAGTCTTAAACCCTTAAAGACTGGCTCAAAGGCTCAAACGAAGCGGGGCGTGCGCGGGTGTGCGCGCGCCACCACCTGGTGTACACGTGGGTGTACAGGTGGCTCAAACAAATAGGTTCTGGCGACTATGGGCCCAAATGATGATTTTGGGCTATGCAGGCTCCAAAGGTCGTGGCACAACCATTAGGTGTTTTGGGCTTTATTGTCAGACTTATGCTGTCTAATACTGTGTTGAATCTGCGGGGGCTCCAAATTTGCCCCGAGAAGAAGTACAGCACCAACCTAGGAGTTGACACTGTTCACGGCATCGTTCATCATATGAAAATTTGGTAAGAGCAATGCCACAGGATTGCACAAGTTGGCCGTAGTGTGCATCCTGGTATGCACAACCTCCCCCTAGACCCTACGTGGGCCTACGTGCTGAGCCTGTGGCCTACGAGGTCTAACCCGAAGCCTGCGACTAACATGCAGGGATGGAGGACGAAAACTCCATGCTGTAGAACAGTTTCAGTGTATTAGCTACAGAGACGAGAGCATCGTCATCGAATTCCGGGGACCGCTGCTGCGGGAGTGAAGCTGCTGCCGGAGTGAATGCTTCTATTCTCGTTGTCTTTAGCGTATGTCATGGAAAACCCATATGCTTCCAGCGTGTAGGACGCACAGGGTTTCAGAAGCATCCCATAGCCTTGGAATTCTCGAAGCTCCATCCGGACGAGCACGCCATAAGGAAGTTATTGCACATTGCGCAGTTTTCTTTTTAAGGCCGAAGCGCTTTTGGCAACCTTTTCTAGCCAAGCAGCGTGCCATCAGACAGAAAACATTGATACCCTGCTTCAGAGGATACAAACTTTAAGCTGTCCTTTACGAAGCTATATTCTAGATGATACTATGCTACACTATACTACGCTCGACTTGATTGGACTAGCGTGGCCTAGCCGACGCGAGAGAGACAGATACCTAGATAGATGGATAGATAGATACATAGATAGCCTTATGGACCCATAGTCGAGCACGCACGAAGGACCCCTCGGCTGCGGCAGATTTTCAGCGGAGGCTTCAAAGCACCCGAATGAGCTGGCGTTCTGTACCATATTTATATTGATATTTAGATTTATATGTGTATATTTATATTTATACATGTATATATATATATATGTATTGCTCTGCGGCCTGCAGAGCTGTGCTGTGGACATGGTGTTTGGGCAGGAAAGTGACGCTGTGATGTGTGGCGCAAATAGTGTGTGTATCGATAACGTATCGATAACGAGTTTGTTGCTAACTTTGAAGCCCATGGCCTATTCAAGCTTCAAGCCCTACTCTGAGGCCGAGGAGACTGTTAAGAGGTTGATTTCCGGTTTGGAGGTGGTCTTCAAGTCTCGAACAGGCTTGCAGTAGCTCCGGGGCGTGTTTAGCGTTTAGGGCCTTGAAACTCGCGTGAGTTGGCCCGAGCTTTGCCACCAACAAGAGCCATGCACACCGTCTCCCTCTGACTCGTTCACGATAACGCGAAATACCAAAATCGATAACATCAAAATACCGCTTCTCACATGTTGAATATTGCCGCGCTCTCATTTTTCGATTTGAGTGTGCTTTTTGTCTCTGGATTTATTTGTCTATATATTTGGATATTTTTATGTTGCGAGGGGGTTTTTCGATTTTAGCTTATTTATCTGTTTTTTTTTAATATTTCTTTATTTGTATATTTATATGTTTATTTGTTCGATTATCGATCTGTTTCACTATATAGATGATTATCTTATTTTCTATATGGCTATTTCGTTTCTTATATTGATTCGTCTAATTAATTTTTTCTTTGTTATATATATATATAATTGGATCTTTATTTCTTGGATATTTTTTCTTTCTTTATCTATCTATCTTTCTATTTCTCATTATTTGTCTATATATTTGGATATCTATCTATTTTTCAATTTATCTATTTTAAAATTTTTTGCTTTCTATATTTTTCTTTATTTACGTAATTAGTTATTTTTCGATTCGCTTTTTATTTTTATTTATTTATTTCTTTATTTTGATTTTGTCTCTTGTTTGGGCGATAGAAAGGCAGAGATAGAAAGAGAATAAAATACATAGAGAGGTACAAAAAATCGGCAAAGATATAGATAAGCAATGAGATAAGAATGATATAAGATAGGTGGGCTAAAATGAAAATAGATTAAGAGGCAGATAATTAAAGACATGAGAATAAGGAAAAATATAATTAAAGCCAATGATATAGATAAGAATAAAAATGGGGACGCGATTTGAAAAAATTAGGCAAAGAGATAAAAAGATAGAAAAGAACTAGAAAGTGAGATAAAGAATTAAATAGATAAAGATGATAAGGCAATTAGCCATATAAAGAATTAGACGTCCAGAAGCAATAGATAAAGATATAATGAAAAATAACTAGAAAATAGAGAGCCAAATAAATAAATAAATATCCAGAGCGGGAAAGAAATAAATATATATATATAATTGTCAAATTCATTTAACAATAATTTCTCTTTTGTTTTTATATTAAAAGTAAAATATATATAAAAAGAAATAATTTTCAGATTGCTATGCCAAAAATATTTTCAAAAAATATTTTTAAGAATAATTTCCAAAATTATTGGGAAATAATTTTCGAAAAAATTGTTATCTTATATTTCGATTAAGAAATATATTATTGGTCGTATGAGAATATTAGAAATTTAATATTATCTTTTTCGAGATAACTCTCATTTTTCATATTTGGAAATTTCGAGATATCTTTAGAAAAGTAGGTTACATTATCTTCTTATCCGTAGTCGTATTTTAGATTATCTTTAATATAGAATAGATATAGCTTCCGATTATAATGGCATCGTCTATAGAGGTTCCCGATAAGATTAGTCTGGCTATCATATATAGGGTCATAGGGGCTTTCTACAAGGTATTCTAACGAATTTCGGATGGTCTTCCATAAGGCGTACGATATACAGAAAGTATGTTATACATTCCATAAGGATTTTTGTAAGGTTTCTATATGGTATTCTACAGGGTATCGCATATGTTATTGCATAAAGGTAGTCTATAGGGTAGATATACGGGATTTGCCTGAAAGTATATTGTAAGGCAGCCTAGAGGCTATAGGGCATTCAATAAGGCATTGCGGTATTCTATATTAAGTTTTCTGTATGAAAGGTTTTAAGGTATATAGAGGAGGTAGTCTACAGGGTATCCTACAAGGCATTCTATATAGTGTATTGTATAGGGTGTACTCTGGGGTATATGTAACATAAGGCGTGCGGGGGGTTATCACATATAGGTGGTCTTGTATAAGATACATATTCTGCAGGGTATTTCAGATGGTGTTCTATAAGGTGTATGTGCATATATATATATGTACATATATATATATATAGGGTTTCAGAGTGGAATTGTATAATGTATGTCAAAAGGTATTCTACAGGGTATTCTTTTAGTTAATCCAAAAGGTATTGTAGAAGGTATTATATAGGGCCATATAGGGTATGTATAGGGGTTTTCTATAAGATATTCCTGTCTTTTTATAGACCCCTCATTGAACAAGCTTCGATTTGTTCAGGGATTTCCTAGATCCTAGATTCTGCATGTCCTTCATGCCTAGCACTGCGTTTTCACACCCAGCGTGCATTCGTACACGACTGCTTCTCGTGTTGCAAAAGAACGCAAACGTGCATGTATGTTCTGTGTGCGTCTACCCAAGCAGGTTTTTACATGCGGCAGTATGGGTTCTGAAAATAACACGCAACAGGAGAGCAGAGGTACGTCATGACATATAACATAGTGTCACGATAAATACGCATATAAAAACTGGACCCTGTT